TAGTAGTAGTAGTAGTTAGTAGTAGCTATTATCCATAATATCTCAACTCCCATTCACCAGTTGGATTTTGAGTGATATTGACTGATGTTTTGAGAGCAATAGCATATACTGCTTCAAAGAGATAGTAACATAGATATCTGTATTTCCTGTTTGCCAAACTGTCCTTATAGTATGAGCTCTTCCATGGCAGCATTCTGAGCTGTTTTTCTCCTTCTTAGACCAATCAAACAGTGACAAGATCTCATCCCTATTCTTCCTATCCATACCTATCCCAACTCTCTGATGGATATCTTGGAACACCCCTTTCCTCCCTTCCACCTCTTGGGAAATGCTCCTGTCTGGGTACCACTGCTGGTACTAAAGTCTCCTTTGCTGAGATAGATGCTTCCTGAAAAAAGAATCTGCTTTGTAAGTCCTCTTCATTCTTTCACCAAACTCCTGTTCAGACATACCTGCTCTTGTATGAGTCCATCTTGTAGAATCTTCAAACAAKTAGCTACCATTCCATTTCATCTCTTCTGGAACAACTTTTTGGAAAGCATTCATGTCCCTGAATAGGTAGCTCTCATGACAACCCCAGAGCTCTAGTTTTTTGGYATAATGGCAAGAGAGAACTACCAAGACAGAAATYCWGGGGATATGCCTACTAGCAAGAAAATACCAGTGACAATGTTTTCCAGGATGGAGGCCAATTCTATTCATTGGAACTCTTTCAGTCACAAAGGAGCCTGGGAGTCTTCCCTGTACCTTCTCTGCAAAAATATGAGCTGCTGAGTTAACACTATCCATATCAGTTATCAAGGACAGTCTCCCAACAGAGGCAATCACTCTTGCTGATGCTTGACACCATTCCTTGGTGGCCTTGAAGGTATTGTGAACAGATGACTCCAAAAGTACATTGCAACTATTTCCATATTCCCATAATAATTGAATGCTTTGGAATCAAAATATGCTGAAACTACAGTACTCTCAAAAGCTACAGCAATTCTCYGGCAACTAATGCTCTCTCACTTCCCGCGCTACCAGCACTATCAAAATATTGCACCAACAACACATTGCTAGGCATACCAGTTTTGTCAAAGATGGCTCTCTYGTAGTTTTGGGCCAAGTCACCACCAATCTTGCAAACCACGTCCCTGACGTGCAAAGCTCGGAATTTCATGGCTTTCTCTCCAAGGGGCTGAACACAAATCCTAAATTTTTGCCCAACCTTATAAAAGCCGCCTTTGGGAACAGATTGCACCTTCCTCACCAGGAATGCCACACAGGAATGCCTCAACTGTCACCTCCTCACTTAGCCCACCTKTTTGTTCCTTAAAACTAGATGAAGGGTCAAGACTAAGATCGGTGGAAAAGGTGCCAACACATTCTCCGATGTTGACACTTTCAATGGTCATTAACACATCYACGTGTGTCAACCACTCCGTTTGGTCCCACAGTCCTAATCAGATACATAGTCGGGGTTGTGAYATTGACCAAACTGATAGTGGAAGCTTTACCCAGAAGGAGTCTGACGGAAAAAGATTTCTGTGTTCGCATAAGTTACGAATGCTTCGGAATCAAAATATGCTGAAACTACAGTACTAGTCGCAAATGAAAGACCACGCATGCCAGCAACCCTTGTTCTGTCACTTGACGCGCTACCCAAAGCAGACTCATAGATCGTCAACACATCAGTAGAGAAACCATATTCGTCAAAGAGGGTTCTCTTGTAGTTTCCCATTCCAGGGGTGCCAATCTCGCAAAACACATTCTTGAAATATACAACTTGGCATTCCGTGGCTTTTTCTTCAGAGGGCTGAACACAAATCCTAAACTCTTCCCCAATCTTATAAGAGCCGCCGACGGGAACAGATGGTGTACCAAGTCCTGTTGCACTGTCCTCATTAGGAAYGCCACACAGGAATGCGTCAACCACCACCTCCTCAGTTAGCCCACCTGATTGTTCCTTAAGACTAGATGAAGGGTCAAGACTAAGACCGGTGGAAAAGGTGCCAACATACTCTCCGTCAGTGACATCAATGGTCATTCCCAYGTCCATGTGTGACACCCACTCCATTCGGTCCCAGTCCCACAGTCCTAATTGGATACATAGTCGGGATTGGGGCATTGACCACTCATTAAGCTTTACCCGGACGGAGTCTGACAGAAAAAGAGACAAATGCTATTCTATTGAGCCAATTCAAAAAAATAGTGAAGTAGCAACAGAAACAAGCCAATYGCAAGCTGAACCACTTACATAAATCATGATTCACTCAGTTTCTGCTCGCAACACTACCACCAATCATCCTTGTAGTACGGAAAACAGAATTGTTACTACTAATGGCTTGCTTACTATTTCCTATGTTTTGAATATGTATGGCATGCAAATTGACATGGAATCCCTGCCGATCACTGAAGACCATATGACAAACAGTGTGCTCGACGGCAATGGTTTTCTTTTGATCATGGCCCTGGCCATGGCTGCAGCTGTGGTAAATCCTGCTACAAGGTCTGCAATTGTCCACACCTTGCTTAGGGTCTGCTCCAGGAGCAGCAAGATCCTGAAACAGGCCAAGAATTCTGGATTTGGAAAGTGGTCAAAAACTCAAATTCTTCCAACTTGGTTTCGCTCTCTTGAAGAACACGATGTGTAGAAAGGGGATACATGTATGGATAATGATTCCAACCTCCCAAAAAGAAACCCTCCAAGTACTGAGTATTGCTACAATCAAACTCAAAGAATGGATCTAACTCAGTCTGTTGGAGTACATGATTACCAGTGACGTCAGCCCCACAAACGCAATCTATCTCGTCTTGGTGTTCCGTAACACAATTAAAACCAAAATGCGTRAAATCAGTTTGACACAAATTCTTGCAAGCAGTAATCCAATGATCATTCAAATTAAATTGGCCTTGAAACTCATAGACGTTGAACACRTTGGCAGAGAATTCGGCCTCATATTTTATTTAATCAAACTGGTCCAAAACTACTTTGCCGTCACATACGATAACCGCACCAACAAAGAATGCATTGGAATTGACATATGCTGAAACTGCAGTACTCTCAAATGCTAAAGAAGAGCGTCTGGCAACCTTTGTTCTCTGACTCTCCGTGCTACCAACACTTCGAACATTCTCTGTCAACAAATTGGAAGTACCATTCTCTTCAAAGATGACTCTCTTRTAGACGGATCCAGAGACTGTTTTGTCCTTGGAATGGTCAACTTGGTATTCCATGACTTTTTCTTCAGAGGGCTGAGCACAAATCTTAAATTTTTCCCAATCTTATAAAAGTCACCACCAGGAACAGATGGTGTACCAGATTAGCGAGACCCAATTTTTTGAATGGTATGTGTTTTTTTTATAGAGGTGCAGTTTCTTGCCAATTATGTTGTGGATTTTGTTGGCAAGAATGACCTTTGGAGAAGATATCATGAAGTTGTCTACTTGTCGTAACATGAGTATTTTTGTTTCTTTGTAGGTTTGTTGGTGTAGGTTTGTTGGTGTAGGTTTGTTGGTGTTGGTGTTGGTGGTGGTGTTGGTGGTGGTGTTGGTGGTGGTGTTGGTGGTGGTGTTGGTGGTGGTGGTGGTGGTGGTGGTGTTGGTGGTGGTGTTGGTGGTGTTGGTGGTGTTGGTGGTGGTGGTGGTGGTGGTGGTGGTGCTGGCAGTGTTGGTGCTGTTGTTGGTGCTACTGCTACTCCTACTGATACTCCTACTGCTCCTTATCCACCAACCTTGCAGTGATAGTACTCCTGTACCCATTGCAATTCCTAGTTCTTTTTCCAGACTGGCAGCAGTATCTT